ACTATTAAACTGATGTTAGCTCTATAAAAGAGATTTTTAAAAAAGGATTACATGTCGTTTAATTTTTCTGAATAACTGACTTTTCCTACACCCCACAATTATTTTAACACTTTGATAAGTTCTGCATCTCTATATGGTGATTAATACTTTGGAAACTATGTATGTGATAGCTTCTTTTACAATGATAATTCTCTTTTAAAATTACATCTACTTCTATCCCTTCTCACTTATGCCAATCCTTATTATCCAGGAGAATCGAGATTATGATGTGTATTCCTTTCTCCCATAGTTTATATGAACATATGAACTTGTATGTGTATATTTATTCATACTCACTTTTTACATAGTTATCATGCACGTTAACAGAAATAATAGCCAAGACAGAGGCCATCACCCTGAGGATATGATTACTAGTTTCAAGGCCTTGGAAAATGCAGCTCACCATGTAAAAGCATCTCACCACGAGAAATCAGTAATTTTCAAAGCTGGTAAAACTTAATATCAAACTGAAGCTACAGGCAGGTTGACTGGATAGAGAAATATTTAAATTAGTACCAACTGTACTGCTACAAAGCTTACCTTACAGCTTTGAAAAACTCTGATTTCCTGTGTGTTTCAGTGGTGAGCTGCATTTCCTGAGTCTCAGCCGACTTCCCAGCAGGAACTCTAGTCTGATGAAGAATCAGCAACAGGAAGCCCTCACTGAGAGACACACTGGTATCATTCACTGAGTGGAGATAGTGAAAGAGCAACATATTTCCAAAGGCAATTCAGATTGTATTAATAATCTAGGCTTACACAGTAAATACAGATTTAACTTCCCTGGCACAAGCCTGGGAAAACCTGACTGCATTTTCTACAAAGCATCTGGTTTCATCCTATCTACCTCTTTGGGATGATATTTATTCATCATAGTTCATCCCTTAACTGTCTCTTTGAAAAAACAAAAGAAAGAAACCTTAGGTATGAATTGAACAATAGTAATGACATATCTTCTAGCAGCAACATTGGAATCTTAAAGTAGAAAAAAAAAATCAGTGAGGTAAACCTTTACCAATTTATAAAAATTAGTGAAGTAAACTTTTATCAACTTTTTGCATCACCTTTATCATCGTTACCACCTCTCACAGCTGGGACAACCACATCCAGAAATCTTGTGTAATCTCTATAGAAATATTTTTGTTAATACTGAAATGAGCATTTTATGCTTTCAAGAAAAATGTTTCCTAAAATGTTTCCTAAAATGTTTTAACACAGTTCACAACAAATCAATAGTCAGAACACAGTTCTAGAAATCATGTTTCAGGAAACGTTTCTTTAAAAACATCTTGAAATACATATTTTTTTCACTGATACTTTTGAATTTTAGCCTAATCACATTTATTGCCCTAGATGGTCCTGTCTAAACAGTACTATTGGCCCTACAGCTATTTAAATTTACATTAGGAAATTCTGCTGGATGGCATGGTCCTAGACAAAGCATCTGAAGAGAGAGACTGTCATTACAGTCCAAAGGCCTTACCTGGTCTGAGGAGGTGTGGGTGTGTAAAGGGGCTGGGCTGGCCTAGGTATCGGTTTGGAATCCTCCTCTCTGGGATGGGCTGCAGGGAGTATCTTCGCTGTGAACATGACAAGCATCCTGAAGGAGAAATAAGGACGATGAAATAGAACAGTGCATCTAGCTAGTCCTCACAGTATATACACATAGTTATCTGTCTCCAGCAGCAGGCTGCTTTACAAACATGCAAATTAGCATCTCCTTCAATATTTACATGGCCCTTCCTCCGAGCCAGCCAGAGCATGTGCTGGGCCTCAGGGATATAGAAATAAGATTATTTTTACCTTAAGTGACTTTAGTCTACTATTACATAATAGAGGCATATACACACACAGTATGATTAGCATATGAATAAGGAGCTATGGGAACAGAAGGAAACAAACAAAAGCAGACGAAGAGGTAGGAAGCGTTTCACTGAAGTAGTGTTATGCTGTGCCCTAAAATTCAGAAAAAGTGAACGTTTTTACTGAGAATACGTGAAGTCTGGGAAAATATGCACATACTATCTCATTTAACCTTGGAATGTTAGAGCTAGATGAAATAATGTATGAAAAATGCTTAAGTACAGTTAGTACACTAGAAGCTAGTAAGCTTCAATACTAGTACTGAAGCAGTTCAGTTCAGTTCAGCTGCTCAGTCGTGTCTGACTCTCTGTGACCCCATGAACTGCAGCACGCCAGGCCTCCCTGTCTATCACCAACTCCCAGAGTCCACCCAAACCCATGTCCATTGAGTCGATGATGCCATCCAACCATCTCATCCTCTGTCATCCCCTTCTCCTCCTGCCCTCAATCTTTCCCAGCATCAGGGTCTTTTCCAATGAGTCAGATCTTCACATCAGGTGGCCAAAGTACTGGAGTTTCAGCTTCAACATCAGTCCTTCCAATGAACACCCAGGACTGATCTCCTTTAGGATGGACTGGTTGGATTTCTTTGCAGTCCAAGGGACTCTCAAGAGTCTTCTCCAACACCACAGTTCAAAAGCATCAATTCTTTGGCACTCAGCTTTCTTTATAGTCCAACTCTCACATCCATACATGAATATTAGAGTTTAATACTCTAGTATTCAACGAGATCTATTAAGTGTGTGACTGGCACATGCTGGAAAAAACACAAGAATAACCTAAGACTATCTGCCCTTGTCTTAAAAGAATATATAGTCTAGTGGATGTGAGACAGAGCAATACCACATGGTGAGCGCTGTGGTGGATTCACACACAGGTTTCTGAGAGCACAGAGACCAAAACAATGCTGTAGGAAGGCACAAGGACAGACAGGACACAGGCTCTGGGGAACAGAGAAGCACACAAAAGGCGCTCACGTGGGGCTGCACAAGTAGGTGACGCCTAGTCTGAGCAGAAATTAGTCGAGTGAAAGCGACAAGGGGAGTGGCAGGTATCATGAATGAGACGTGAAAGGGAAGGCATAGAAGACACTGTGCTTACTAAGGCAAGAGGGATGGAAAGAGAGTTTCAGGTCAGTGCTGCTGCTGGAGGGAGAGTAAAATATCAGCAAGGTAAACTAACTAAAGGCTTTGTACACCAAACTAAGGAATTAGATTTGTAACTGTCACATGAGGTTGGCATTATCGCTTTAAAAGGAAAAAAAAAAAAAACACATAAGGAATTAAGATTCTGAAGTAATTTGTGCAATGTTGGCTCATATGGTAAATAGTCTGCCTGCAAAGCAGGAGACCCAGGTTTGATCCCCAGGTCGGGAAGATCCCCTGGAGAAGGGAAGGGGAACCCACTCTAGTATTCTTGCCTGGAGAATCCCATGGACAGAGAAGCCTTGCAGGCTACAGTCCATAGAGTCACAAAGAGTCAGACATGACTGAGCAACTAACACTCACTTTCTCATGCAGTACTTAGGAAGCTAGGATTTAAACTCAGGGTTTTGTTTTTTTTTGTTTTTCATTTATTTTTAGTAGTTGGAGGTTAGTTACTTTACAATATTGTAGTGGTTTATGCCATACATTGACATGAATCAGCCATGGATTTAAACTCAGTTTTAACTTAAAAAATTTTTGCTCTTTCCCCTCCACCCTGCCACTCAGTTAGTCCTCTCTGCCAAATTCCCAATGACACAATTAGTGCCAAACTCCCCGTGAACACACAATCACTCCAACAGCAAAACACAAAAGTCTACATCAAGTTAAAGGTTCTAGCAGGGATTATAAATTAGGAATGACAGTGGAGGTATTTAAATTTCACTGAATACTATTCTTCCTATGATTGTTATTTTTAATCCCTATTCCATTAAAAAAGTTTGTCTCAGTGCACTAAAATGGTTTTATCACTGCAATATTTTACATGGTAGCCCCCAAAAGATATGTCTATACTGTAATCCCCAGACCCTGTGACTGTTAATTTGGAAGGAAGGTTTCTGCAGATATAGAACTAGATTAAGGAACTTGAGATAAAAAGATCATCCTGCATTATCTGGGTCAGTCCTAAATCCAATGACCTGTGTCCTTACAAGAGAAATGCAGAAGGAGAAGAAAGACAGAAGAGAAGGAAGCAATGTAACCACGGAGGCAGAAACAGGAGTGATGTGGCCACAAGCCAAGGAATACCTAGTCACCAGAAGCTGGAAGACATAAAGGATGGAGTCCCTCCTAGAGCCTTTGGAAGGAACAGAGCCCTGCTGACACACGATGTCAAGCTTCTGGTCTCCAGAACTGTGAGACAATACATTTTTTTTTTTAAATGTCTTTATTGTTTAAAACTTTTGGTTGTGCTGGGTCTTCTTTGCTGTGCGCGGGTTTTCCCCAGTAGCGGAGAGCAGGGGCTCCTCTGCTGTGGAGCGCGAGCTTCTCACGGGGCGGCTTCTCCCGTCCCGGAGCACGGGCTCCAGGTGCACAGGCGGCAGTGGTTGTAGCACTTGGGCTCAGCAGTTGCGGCACATGGGCTTAGCTGCTCTGCTGCATGTGGAATCTTCCTGGACCAGGGATCGAACCTATGTTCCCTGCACTGGCAGGGGAAGTCTTATCCACTGGACCACCAGGGAAGCCCTCTACTGTTATAAGCAGACATGTCCATGTTAATTTATTATGGTAGTCTCAGGAAACCAATACAATGACTTTCTAAGGTTGAAATAAGTATGTCAACTGCTTGGGTACTTTTTCAGAGTTCACAAATTCTTCATTTTTCCAAACCAAAACATGGAAGAACTGAGAAGTAAGTTATTAAGGCTCAGTAACCCAGAGGTCATATTATGCAAGGGGCATGTTGCGGCCATACTACAACACGTTCCACTGGTTTATGGGGCACTGTTTGAGGCTTCCAGGAAAACATGGGAGAAACAGCCCAGAGGGTTAAGGATGGTGTGGCTTGACTCTGGACTAGCTCCATTTAGGTGGTCTGGTCCCAAGAAGGTCTGCTCCCAAGCCCAGAATGACACCACAATGCAGCCCTCTGACATAAGCTTTTAAGTCTGCTTGCCACATAATCAGTATCCTAACGTCTCCTAGCAGTGGTGCAAGGTAATAACATTATCCTCAATGTAAAATTGCCTATTTATAGTCACTGCCTCTACCACCAGCACCAGCAGAGCCTGAGCTGAGAGGAAACCACAGTTCTCACTCCCTAGAGCAGCCCTTCCCAACATCTGTTAAAAACATGGTGGATTACTACCAAGTTCTAGGATTGCAGAGACATGCTTCACCTGAGGATGTTAAAAAGGCTTATCGAAAAGTGGCACTTAAATGGCACCCGGATAAAAATCCAGAAAACAAAGAAGAAGCCGAGAGAAAATTCAAAGAATTAGCTGAGGCATATGAGGTATTATCGCATGATGAAAAACGGGACATTTACGATAAATACGGCAAAGACGGATTAAATGGTGAAGGTGGAAGTGATTTCGACGATTCTTCTGAATATGGCTTCACATTCCGTAAGCCAGATGATGTCTTTAAAGAAATTTTTGGTGAAAGGGACCTATTTTCATTTCATTTCTTTGAAGACTCACTTGAAGACCTTTTAAATAATTCAAGGAGCTCCTATGGAAGCAGAAACAGAGGTGCAAGATACTTTTTCTCTACATCCAGTGAATATCCAGTTTTTGAGAGATTTTATTCATATGACACAGGATATACACCATTTGGTTCACTGGGCCACGAGGGACTTTATTCATTTTCTTCCCTGGCATTTGATGATAGCGGGATGAACAACTACGTTACTGTTACAACTTCAGGTAAGACTGTTAATGGCAGAAATACCAATACAAAAAGAATTATTGAGGATGACCTAGAAAGAGATGAAGACAATGATGAGTTGAAGTCCTTTCTTTCAAATGGTGTGGCAGATGAAGAGGGCTTTGCTGAAGAATGCAGTTGGAGAAGACAGTCATTCAACAATTATTCACCAAAGTCCTGCAGCCCCAAACATGCAAACAATGATGAGCAGGGTATAACTTGGGTCACCAACAACTGGAATCCCTCTGTTTTCTCAGCAGGATTCAAAGAAGGTGGTAAGAGAAAAAAAAAGAAGCATAAAGAAATACAGAAGAAGAAGTCAACTAAAAGGAATCGTTAAACTGATTCTTCAGACACATTATGTTCATATAACATTTGAATACAACTCTCTGGGTGTTTCTGTTAATGAGTTTTGTAGATGATATTTGTTTAATACTACACTAAGATTATGTTTTTAATGTGCTTAGCAGGCTTGGAGACATCTGATGAGTGGTTGTTTGGATTAGAACAAGATGGTTAGAAAAAGATGAACTGTGGTAACAGTGATATTGAGTTTAGAAAACAGCAAAGATTATTTTACTTTTTGTTTTTGAGATAAATGCTTATATGGGCTTCCCTCAGAACCGAGTTGGTAAAGAATCTGCCTGCAATGCAGGAGACCCCGGTTCGATTCCTGGGTCAGGAAGATCCACTGCAGAAGGGATAGGCTACCCACTCCAGTATTCTTTGGTTTCCCTTATGACTCAACTGGTAAAGAATCTGCCTGCAATGCTTACATATTATATATATCATATAAATGCTTATATATTATGAAGTTTTTCTTTAGTCAAGTCTATAATCTATAATCATTCCTTTGATCTAATTAAAGCTACTTTACAGACTTCTGACATACATAAAGCATTAGCAGCTAAAAATGTATTAAAACACACAGGTTCAGTCTACATGGTTATTAATGAGATGACTTTTTTCAATGATCACAGAGCACTTCATACACAATTTAAGACATTATAAATTAAAAATCAAAGTATAAAAGCATTTTAAGTTAAAAATAGCTACACTTATATCTGGATGCCTATGTTCAAAGCACACTTATTCACAACAGCCAAGAGGTGGAGCCAATCCAAATGTCAATTGACAGATGGATAGATAAATAAAATATTTATACATATAGGCATACACAGAGGCTGAATAGGATCAGCCTTAGAAAGTAAGGAAACCTTGTCACATGTGACAACATGGATGAACTTTGAGACATTATGATTTTACTTATATGAGGTATCTAAAGTCAAATTCATAGCAACAGAAAGTGGAAATGCGGTTACCAGGGGCTGCAGGGAGAAGAGAAAGCACTGTTAGTGGATACAGATTTAGATTTGCAAGATGAAAAAGTTCTGGAGATCTTTTCACAACTGTTTTATTTAAAAATAATTAACATGGTAAATTTGATGTTACATGTATTTTACAAACTCTCTCCAAGTGGCCTAGACATGAGACTTATTAGAAAGACCTTTAACCGGCAACTGGGCTTCCCAGGTGGTGCTAGTGGTAAAGAACTCAGCTGCCAACGCAGGAGACCTAAGAGATGCAGGTTTGATCCCTGGGTGGGGAAGATCGCCTGGAAAAGGGCATGGCAACCCACTCCAGGATTCTTGCCTGGAGAATCCTATTGACAGAGGGGCCTGGCGGGCCACAGTCCGTGGGGTCACAGAGTCAGACACGACTAAAGTGACAGCATGCATGCACGTATTTTACATTTTTTTTTTTCTTTTAAAGCCAGACTTATCCTGGATTCTTCAGAGCAATGTGGCTGTATTATGCATGGGTGGCCATCAGTGACTTATACCAGATAGGAAACTTTCTAATTTTTTGAGTATGTACACAGGATATAAAAATACATTACTCTAAAATACCACCTTTAGCCATCGCAACCGAGGCTTATGATGGAAGAAAAACAGATGAGTTTCAGAGTTACAGATGTATCAGATATTGAGCAACTATTTTTATATATTTGCTTCCTTTAAATGAATTTAATTTCAACACAATTACTGCTTAGCTTCCTGTAATTATTTCATTTTCAAAATACACTGCTTTCATCCCATTATTTTTATTCTTTCACTCATTCAACAGTATTTTTTGAGTACCCACTATTTGTGAGGTAGTATCCTAGGTACCTGGGATATAATAATGAACAAACACAAAACTCTTAGCTGTCACAGAGCTTAGACTGGAGAGAGACAATAAACAAATACTAAGTAAAATATGTTAGTCATAGGTGAAAATAAAAAAAAAATCAGGGGCAGGACATATAAGTTTTGGAGCAAGAGTGCTGAAATTTCAGCCAAGGTAGCCAGGGTGAAATGATGGTTACATGTGAGAAAAGATCTCAGTGAAATGAAGGAGTCAGCCATGTGGATATTTGGTCAAAGAGGATTCCAGGTAGCAGGACTAGCAAGTCAAATGTCCCTAAAGCATGTTGTATAAGGTGCGTGAGGAACATGGAGGAGATCCACGTGGCCCTTTCTGAGAGCAAGTAGATGAAGTATGAAAGGTAAGAGAAATCCACAGTATGCAATGACTTTCAGATAACAGTGTAAGCTATGGCATAACATTTGGGACAGGAAGCCACTGGAGGCTCTGAGCAGAAGAGTGACATAATCTGACGCACTTAAACAGGCCTACTCTGGCAGCTGCAAGTAGGACTTGCCTGGTGGTCCAGTGGTTAAGACTTCACACTTCCACCGCAGGGACTAAGATCCGGTTGCAGGAAGTCAGATACCACTTGGTGACTTAACAATACTGCCTTTCTTGAGCTCCCATGTCACTTGAGTCAAGACTCTAATCACCATCCTTTGCTATATTCTCATTTGTCTGTTGCTTCTCTATCATCTGAGAGATGATAGACTCTAGATGATAGACTGTAACTCTAGGCAAGTGGAGATTCGTCCAGAATGACTCCTAACTCAAAAGTTACTAATTGAAGTTATTCTGGCTCAATAAAAAGTTCCAAAAGGACTCTACTAAGCGAGAGTAAGACTGAGCACAAGTATAACAGGAAAAGGACTATATGGCAATCACGACACATTCCTGATTTGCTAGTTGTGATACTGTGTTGGTTTCAGTTCCCTATCAGTAAAATATATGCTCTAACTTATTGGACTTGTGAAGATCCAACAAGATCATTCATTCAGAAAGCCTATATAAGTATGGCGATGGTGTAGTCGATAAGTCAACTGAGACCCCATGGACTGCTGCCTGCCAGGCTCCTCTGGCCATCAGATTGTCCAGGCAAGAATACTGGAGTGGGTTGCCATTTCCTTCTCTACGGGATCTTCCCAACCTGGGGATTGGACCCACGTCTCCTGAACTGCAGGCAGATTCTTCACCAACTGAGCTACCAGAGAATTCCCCTATATATGTATATTATGATGTTAACAGAAGAGTAGTTAAACTTACATATTCTGAGGCAAAATGAAGCATGATAAACACATTTTTCAAAGATCCTGGTGTGTATAATCCAGTAAACTAAAAACTTAAACTACAGTCACTCAGTAGTGTTCAACTCTTTGCGACCCCATGCACTATACAGTCCATGGAGTTCTCCAGGCCAGAATACTGGAGTGGGTAGCCGTTCCCTTTTCCAGGGGATCTTCCCAACCCAGGGATTGAACGCAGGTCTCCTGCATTGCAGGTGGATTCTTCACCAGCTGAGTCACCATGGAAGACCTGGTGTAATCCAGTACCTTGTCCTAAACCTTGATTAATCAGGTTTCACACAAAGTCTCAACAAATACAAAAAAAGAAAAAGAAAAGTCACAAGTAAATCAGTGGTTCCAGCTCTAAATCATAAGCTATGGCCTTTATGTTCAAGACTGACTAACAGCATATGTATTCACCTACTTTCGATGGACAGGGACAGATTTCTGCAGCCTAGCTATTAGAAGCAAAGAGCAAGTTCTGCGCACTGGACATTACTTTTTTTTTTGTATTTCAGAGTTAGGAGTAAGTCTTGATATAATTACATCCCACTGTCAATATATTCAAGTGCAGCAATACAATAAATAAATGCCAAGACACAGCTTTGGTGTCACAGACCACACGCTCTGGTGCACACACTGTTCACCTATCGCCCTAAAAAACTAAAATATGACCCAATGGCAGATCTGCCTGAAAGGCAGACGATTCAGCTTTCACTGATCAAGTTTCAAGTTCATTGCATTAATTCCTCACGGACACAATACACCCCAAAAATATCCCCTCTCATATTCCCGTAATACTCTACTTTGCCTTTACAAACAAAACTTTCAGACATAAAAAGCCTCAGGAGTATTTCCAATCAATACCTCTTCCAAGAGAAACTACTCAAAGGATTTGTATTATTAAACGTAACGTTTCATGTCCATTTCGTGAGAGCCAGCTCTCACGTCAACTCTTTGAAAACACGAAAATACGATTTTAAGTTATCCTAAACTTAGTAGGTTATCCTAACAAGAGCTACCTGATGAGAGACACTTGTCACCAGAACAAGTGTGATAACTGACACAAGTTTCTTGAGTCCGCATGACTTAACCCCTCGGGGAAGACAGCAGACACTTTTCTCTCTGCAGTCATTTCAACTCCCAGACTACCTCGACGGCAGCGAGAACACCGGGCCCACCCTTTCTCAGGGGCAGTAGGAGGAAGAGAAGAAATTCGAGGCGTGCACAGAGGGTTTGGGCGTGGAAGTCCCGGTGGAACGATCCGCCGAAGCAGGGGTCGCCTGAGACTAACTTAGATCCCGCTTGGCGCGCCTCAGGCTTCGCAGAGCAAGCTCCGGAGGGGACACTGTGGGAGGTTAAGTCTAACCTGAGAAGCTGCGGGCGCTTGCTACCGCGGGAACAACTCTAGTCGCCGAGAGTAGCCAAGGCATAACTGCCACGCTCAGGCGTCAGGAAGGAAACGAGGAAAACTGCCGGAGAAGCGGTCGCCAGCAGGGCTGTGTCGCCAGGAAACCTGGCCTGGCGCCCCTCCCCTTCCGGCCGGCGCCGCTCGCCGGGCTTTCCTCCCACAGCGGCGCAGTATGTTTACGTCACGCCGGGAGCTGTGAGGGCCGCTCGGGCCGGAGGGCCATCTTGGTGGCGTCATGGCATCATGTTCTATTTAATGGTCACACTCAAGAGCCTATTCTATTCTAAATGACTCCCCGCAGAGGCTAACAGCTTCCGCCTCCTTGAAAGCACCGGATAGGAGGATGATCCCTCTAGAGGACCGGTTCTAGAGTTAATATAAGAAGAAGTGTATGGAGAGGCAGGCAACAGCACGAACAGCCAGGCTTCTAGAAAGTTCTGAGCAGTGCGCAGGGCAGCGGCAGAGGGAGTAGGAATGAACAGGCGAAGGACCCGGGGTCACGAGACCGTTGGGTGGGCGGAG